TGCTGTCCGATCACCGCTGCTGGGCGCAACAGCTCGTCGACCAGCGCCGTGACACCACCCGGTCGCGCGTCACGTGCAGTGGCAGGACTCGTCGCGGTGTGCGGATGCTGGCCCGCCGCGGCCTGCTGGACATGCTGTCCGACCACGGATGCTGGGCGCAAGAGCTCGTCGACCAGCGCCGTGGCGCCAGCCGAACGCGCGTCCCGTGCAGTCGCCGGACTCGTCGCGGTGGGGGTATGCTGGCCCGTACCTGGCGGCCCGCCCTGCTGTCCGACCACCGCTGCTGGGCGCAAGAGCTCGTCGACCAGCGCCGTGACGCCAGCCGGACGCGCGTCTTGTGCGGTCGGCGTGCTCGTCGACGGGTGAAGATGCTGGCCCGCACCGGCCGGCCCGCCCTGCTGTCCGACCACCGCTGCGGGGCGCAGGAGGTCGTCGGGCAGCTGCGCTGTGACGCCGGTCGGTCGCGCAGTCGGCGTACTCGTCGAGGGTTGAACATGCTGGACCGCAACGGGCTCCCTGCGCGCCTGGCCGACCACCGCTGCGACGTGCATGTCGTCTGCCGTCTGGGCCGTGCCACCGCTCGGTCGAGCGCCTTGTGCAGTCGCCGGACCCATGAGCTCGTCGGCCAGACTCACCTGCTCGCAGCTCGGTGGCGCGTCGTGTGCGCTCGGCGGATCGGTCGGGGCCTGTGGCTGCTTGTCCCCCACGGGCTGCCCACCGGTCTTCCCGACCACCGACTGAGGATCCTCGAGCGCGACGTCGACCTGTCGAAAATGTTCGCTCGGTCGCGCGCCAAGTCCATCTTTCAGCAAGTCGTGGACGCCGGGGATACGAACATACGGAGGGGCAGGAGGATCCACGCCCACACCGCGTTTCACCGCAGGTCCTCTACTTCGCTTAGAGCCGCTGGTCTGGTCGCCGGTCAGGGATTTTTCGTCGGCGACCCTTTTCCCCGACTGCCTTGGGGCCGGCCCACTCTCCTCGGCGGTTGCGCGACCGCTGTGCATCACCGACGCGAAAGCAGTTGGGAGGAGGCTAAACCCGGCGGTGCCAATGCCCTGTTGGGTCGCGGAGGTGACCGCCTTCACCAGGTCGTCCCTAAGCTCTTGGACGACCTTCGCAGTCACGGCAGCGGCGATCCGCTGTGCCTCGCCCTCCATGGCGGCCTTCACCTCGGCAGACACGAGTGTTTTGATGTTCTGGCCGAGAGAATCTGCCACACCTCGAAGCAGCAGGAGGTCGTCCTCCCGTCGCCTACCCTGTGCAGCAGTAGCCGTCAAGTGCAGGGCCTGCACGGTGGGCAGCCACTGCGTGTTCATGAATTCGAGGGTGGAGCCGCGATAGCTCACCGCCTCTTGCACGACCGCCCTCACAGCGTCCACCGCCGTTTGGATGCTCCTCCCCGACGTCTGCTCGAGATGGGTCACGCCCTCGGCAACTGTAGTGAGCTTGTTCACGGCCGAGGTGACCACGCCGTAAATCGTGTCATTCCGGGCCGTTTGGAATTCCAGCCTCTTTTCCGCCACCAGCTTCTCCTCCCTCAGCTTCTTGATCTCCCTCTCCGCCGCCTTCAGACGCTCGATAGCCGCCTTTGACGCCATCCTAGGCGGGGTCGAGCCACTGCTGCCCCGGGCCTTCTTGCCCAACTTGGGTCCGCTGCCGCCGCCCATATCCGCAACCTTCTCACCGGCGAACTGCACTGCCTCCTCTTCGCCGGTGACAACCACGTCGTCCTCCTCACGCTCCACGTCCTCCTCCTCTTCTTCCGAGCCACCGTCGTGCTCCCCGCCCCCCTCAACGTCCTCCCTCTCGTGCTCCTCCTCCCCACCCATAGCGATGCCGGTTTCGACGCCACGGGCCACGGTCGACGCCGCCTCCCCTCTGTTCGACGCGGCCTTCTCCGCGTGGTGCAGCAGCTCCAGTCGGAGCGCCTTCAAGCCGACCATCTTCGGGTTCTCGACGATGAGCGGATCGTAGCTGCGAAACACGTCGTCGAGATGCTCCAAAGACCACGCGAACGCGTTGACCGCCAACAGCCCCGAGCCGGCGACCTCCTCCTTGAGGATGTCGGGCAATTTCTGCATCAACATCCGAAGCACATGGCGCCGACGAAAAGGGTGAGTCGACGCCTCGACGACGATAGCCCAGGCGACAAGGCGACATGGACGTTGGAAACTCACATCACGGATGGGGGCGGCAAGACTCTCCAGACGTTCGGAGAGGATTTCGGCGGAAGGAGGCGCAGCCGTCCACTGCCTTCCCTCACGGTTCAACTCCGCCTTCGCGCACTCGGCGAAAAACCTGCGCTACGAGAAGGGAAAGAGCCATCAGACAAGGCGGCATGAACGCCGTTAAAGAGCGGCGCGACTAGCCGTCGACGTTGTCCCACCTCATAACGTTGGCCGCCTCCTCCTCGTGCCGCTTGGAGGAGGTCTTGGGGTCGAGGTGGCGGTAGAACGTCCCGATCTCCTCCTCGTCGGGCAAAAGCAGGTCGCCAGGGCGCACAACAAGCAGGACGCTGCAGTGCCTGCCGGGAAGAGGTCCGCCCCTGCCCACACAAGCACGACGGAGACATTCAGGGTTCTGTCCGGGAACAACAAGCAACTCGGTCGGCGTGGATCAAACCTCGCGGGCGCGGAACACTCACCCGGTGCACAGGGGGATGGCGAGGGCTTCGAAGCCGAAGGCCGACCCGAAAACTAGATAGTCCGCCTTCGACGCCGTCCTGGCGGCGCGAAGACTCGCACCGCGGATCAGGATCATGCTGTCGCCTTTTCCCAGACGATCGAGCTCGTACCTAGGACAAGCGGGGGCGAAAAGGCGGGAGCGAAACACTTGCCCGGTGAGCTACAATCCATGCCGGACGAAGGTAAAGCACGACGGCGATGTCGCCGGAAGCATGACGGACGTCACCGACGTAGGGCCAATGGTCGACTAGTTGATAAGACGACGCAGCTAAAACGTCCATCGCGGATGGACATCGTCGACCACACGGGAAATCGACAAGGCCAACGTCGACCTAGAAAGGACGCCGACAAAAACGCGCTGAACCCTAAACAACTGACAGCGCGACCTAGGGATGCGCGCTCACGCGAGGCCGAGGTCGAAGCAAGGTTCTGTGAACTCGGCCTTCTCGTCGCGAAGGACTTCGTAGTCCTTCATCTCAAGCGTCACCCCGTACCCACCGACGCCCACTGGCACGTGGAGGGGGAATTCAGTCGCAGGCAGTGCTATCCTACTGGTCGCCATGCTAACACCACGGTCGGTATCACGGAAGGTTTGGGGAGGAGCGCGGAGAGCTGACAGGGAGGCAGAGGAAATCGGAAAGCGAAGGTGGAAAGGAGAAATGAGGGATGGAGTGGGACCCCCCATCAAGAAATGGGTCGTGGGCCGTCGGTCGGTCACCTAGTATGCAGCTCGGCGGACGAGGCAGGTCGTCGTGGCCGAGGGCGAGCCTCCGGCTTCGGCCCGTACCGGGCATGCCCTCGAGGGCGGGGTTCGGAGGGGCGGAGGTGGGTGGTTTGTGTGGGCCGTGCGTGGGGGTGGTCGGGGTGGCGAGGGCGAGCCACGTATCCCCTCCCGAGGGGCCAGCGATGTTGACGAGGGTGGGGTCGGGCCCTTTGAATTTCGCAACCAACCCGCCTGCCCGGCGAGGGCAGCCCGAGAGGGTTACTAGGGCCTCGCGGGCAACGCGAAGCGAATGTCCGCCTCCGTGAAGGGGTAACTAGGCCCCTCGTCGCTCACGCGCGAGTTCGCCACCCGTCGGCTGCAACGTGGGGTTCTGTAGGAATTCGGGGTGGGGGGCCGGGGCGGGGGTCGTGGGCAGAGCCCCGCCCCGCGCCAGCCTGGCGGGGGACTCACGCGAGGGAGTTGGCCGCCCTGACGCTCGGTCGACCGTCACCCCCCCGCGTCGTCCCAGGCAGAACGGGTGCGTCACCCCGAATTCCGATGAGCGATTCAGACTCCGCCCTCCCTCCCTTGCTAGAGAAGCGAAACGACTGGTTCTCGAAACGAGCGAGTGGCTGATACGTGTAAGGTGGTATGGATACGTTTCAACCAGCTGACAGATTCATCTCAGGCAATTGGCGATGCGCTGCAGGCGGGGAAGTGCCTGTCCTCGCCGGCCCAGAGCGTCCCGCAGGAGGAAGGGAGACTTCGTGATTGCGTGATAGGAGGGAAGTAACCCGAGCAATGTGCAGGATCAGCAACAGTTATTGTTACGAATTCACTAGCCTACCGCCGCTAGCCTGTATGCACATAGTCTTGAGTTGGGCTCGTTTGAGTCTCGTGGTGGATTCGTAGTAACAATCAGAGCTGTTTCTTGCTCAGAGGGTTTCTGTCAATCTCATGTCGTCACTTCCTGAAGCCCTCCTGTATTCGAACACAGTTTTTGCCTATTTTCGCCGACGGTTGCGTAGCTGATCGTTGGCGGTGATGGCTAGCCGTGGAGATGAGTTAGCTCTCAGTCTTACAGCTCCCGTTGATGCCGAGAATCAGCATGAGGTGAGAGTGATGCCGCAGCCAGTAAAACATCACACCATTTCTAGCCGATTCCCTCGATTGTCACCACACCCTCCTTAAGACTCCTAGCGCTCACTGTCAGTTTTTGGAAAAGACATCAAATTGATCTTATCCTCGCGCTCACTCTCTTGATCTTCGAAAAATTTCCCCCAACCCAGATCGTGGACGTGGTTGATCTGCTGCCCGGCCCCATCTGGCACATCATCTTCTGCCACCTGCTGCTGGGCGAATCGCACGAGGGACGCAGGGCCTCGCGCTTCACTCGACTTTTGAATGGACTAAAGAATAAACTGCGGAATCGGGGTAGCTCCTCCGGCGCATCGCAGCAGGAAGCAGGCAGCACCTCGCCGGGTGCCACTGCGAGTGAACTTCTGAGTCGACTCAAGAATAAACTGCAGAATTGGGGTAATTCCTCGGAGAAGCAACACGCGGAGGCATTGAGGACCTTCGGCTGCTGCTGGCCTCTGCTGCGCTGCGCCATGGTCTGCAAGAGGCTCCTCCACCATGTCGCCTCCTTCCCCGTGAGTCTCTCATTGATCCCCATGAGTCTCTCATTGCTCCCCGTGAGTCTCTCATTGCTCCCCGTGATTCTCTCATTGCTCCCCGTGAGTCTCTCATTGCTCCCCGTGAGTCTCTCATTGCTCCCCTTCAGTCTCTCATTGCTCCCCGTCAGTCTCTCATTGCTCCCCGTAATCCATGGTAAGGTTCTTCTCTGGGTGCTGAGCTTTGAAGCGGTCATGGTCACGGCTGTGTCTGTCCATATCTCTGTCCATCTCTCTGGCACACTGTGATCAATACCTCGAGCACAAAGTCGCAAAGTCGCTCCTCTACTGGTACATTCTCATCGCTCTCCGTGTGTGTGTCTGTCCGTCTCTCTGTCACACCGTGTGCGAGCAGGACTTGGAGCCCATGACGCTGCCTATCAACCCCCAAGACCCCTCGCTCACACGTCCCTCGGGAGCGCTCTCTTTGTTCCTCAGGCACGCGCCTCACACGCCCCTTAATGTCCTTCTCAACAGCTCACAGGACCTGCACTGCCTCGGCCGTCTCTTGGGTCCCTCTGCACGCTCCCTCACAAACCTGTCCCTTGGGCTCAGGGAAGCTTTCGAGAGAGTTGAGCCTATCATGAGGGAGTTGCAGCATCTGGGCGTTCTTGAGGAGTTTGTGCCTATGATCGATCAGAATCAGCCGATGAATCCGGCCGTTCTCGAGGAGTTTCAGCAGCTGCATCGGCTGAATTTAGGCCGTGGGATCTGGCAACTAGGCAAGCTGAATCCAGCTAGTTTCGGGGCTTTAAGGAGTCTCAGCGTCCACGATTTCGAGTGCGGCAAAAAATCTCTGTCCTTTCTTTCGTCGGTCACACCGCAGCTGCATGAACTCGCTCTCGCCGCCTCCAACAAAAGCTCTGGCTTTACCACCGTCACCCTCGATTTCAAGCTCACCGCTGCTCGATCTATCACAGTCTGCTTTGACCATCAATCGCTCCACCTCCGCTTCGCCCTGCCTGCCTCGTTGAAGGCCTTCTCTGCCACTGCGTTGGTTCTCAACGTGGATTGCACATGCAACAGCCGGCTCTCTCTCGACTCGCTCTCTCTCATTGGCTACTCGCAGCTTCTCGTTTCTTCGCTCCCATTGGCTGCCGCCAAATCCGTCTACTTGAACGGAGGAGCAAGCACCCAAGAAGACCAGTGGCGTGCTTTTCCCGGTTCCAATCTCGAACCCCACCGCACCGTGACCAACCTGCTCAGTAGGATAGCGCCAACCGTGGAGGAGCTTGTGTTGAGGTACGGCTGGCCTCTGGAGGGCGTGCGTGTGGAGTGGAGCCGCCTGCGTTGCGTTTTCGTTGGTATAGATCGTGAGAGCACTGGGGGGATTAGTTATAAATGTAGTCCGGGGGATCCGGAAGATTCTGATCTTCGGAGGTTCCTTCGTGCGGGAGAAGAGAATGGCATCTTCAGCAGCACCAGCGGCTTGTTTTTCAATGCTCCGAATCTGGAGTCGTGTTACGATGCCACATGGCTGCTTGATATTACGGTAATAGAATTAGGATGTGAGAGTTGAAAGAAGACGCACGGAGGTGGTTAGGGTAGTAAGTGAGTGGAACCAGGTGTGAGGGTTGATAACGGTGGTGGCAATGGTGTGGGAATGGGTTGGTGTGACCATGGGGTGGTGTGGCCATGGGGTGGTGTGCACCTGTGTGCTGCACTCTAAACCCTTGGCGATGGGATGAGCACATGATGGCAGTGGGGGTGGCAGTGGTGGGCATCTGGCGTGCTTCTATAGCTGTGGTGCTGTGGTGTCATAATGGCAGATGCTCTGTCTGTTGCCAGGGCACAGGGCTGCTGCTCCACCAGCTGAGCACAGTTAGCAAAAGACTTACAAAGGGCTGTTTGTAATTTGTTGATTTGATGTATGGATTGTTGGGCTGAGAATTTCAGCCTTAGGATCTTTGCAGAGAATAGGCTAGTAAGTGCTAGAGTAGCACAGCGGAAGTCTTGAGTGAATGTACTTGTGCTGGTATGTGAGAACAAGTAATTGATTAAAGTAAAGGGCATACAGGAATATATAGAAAAGATAGATTACAAGGAACGGTTATGTTTATCGAGACGCGTAGCGCTTTGACTATCGAGGTGGTTACTGTTCACTGAAGCGTCGCTTGCTGTTACGTAACCTCCAGGCGGTTACAGCTCGCAACCTCTAGTTGCGGTTTGATGTGGTACGCGCCTTTTCGACTTCGTACTCCTTTTGTTGTGCTTCAGTATCGGGTGAGGTTCGATACTACAGAAACGCACTAAGTCATGCGTTTATTTTCCCAACACTCCCCTTCGTTTCTGGAGTGTCGACGTGGTCAGCTTCGGTGACGTGGTCCAATCCGGTGAGCAGCATGCAGTACTCGAATTTCCCCTTTGGTAGCTTCTTGGTGAGATAATCTGCTGCCATCTCGGTGGTCGGGCAGTAATCCAGCTGGAGTTTTCCTTTCTCGATTTCGTCTTTCACGAAGAAGTATCGCAGTGCGATATGCTTGGTTCTGTTGGCGAAGCCATTCTTGTTCGCGATCCGTATCGCGGACTGGTTGTCGCTGAAAAGCGAGAAGCTGGGTACTTTCGCAATTTTCGCTTCTTCCAGCAGTTCGCGCAGGTACAGGCCCTCCTTGGTAGCAGTGCAGAGAGCAATATACTCTGCTTCAGCAGATGATAGTGCGACGAGTTCCTGCTTACTTGATTGCCAGGAGATAGTTCCGACGGGCTCAAGACGGTAGATGTAGCCGGTGCGAGAGCGACGATCGACACGATCAGCAGCATGATCAGCGTCGACGTAGCCGAGTAGTTTTAGGTCGGTCGTCGTGTTCTTGTGATATGTTAAGCCAACTGTTGGCGTCGAGATGAAGTAGAGAAGGGCACGGTTGAGTTCCTTGAGGTGACGTTGTTCTGGGCGCTTGAGGTAGGTCGCTAGTTGACTGGCGCTGTAGGATAAGTCCGGTCGGCACGTAACGGCGGCAAAGAGTAGGCAGCCCAGTTTCTGTTGATATTCCTGGATTTCAGTAGGCGACAGTGGGTTGGTTTCTTCGGTTGGATCGAGCGATAGGTGACTGTAGGGTGTTGCGATGTGCGTCGGTGTGATGCAGAAGCGTTCGGCGATAGTGCTTGCGTATTTTGAGGCGCTGAGACGAATAGTGTTGTCTTCATCGAGGATATTGAGCCCTAGATACTGCGTGACGTTGGGTGAGACTGTGAGGGAGAGATCTGTCTGAAGCTCCTTTTCGAACCAGGTGACGATGGTGGTAGTTGACCCGATGTAAAGCAAATCGTCGACGTAGACGATTAGCAGAACGTAGTCGTTGTCGCGAGTGAGACGATACATGCCCTGGTCATGGGGCAGTTGGTTGAATCCGATGCGTTTGAGTCGTGCGTGCAGGTACTGCTGCCAGAGTCGCGGTGCTTGCTTAATTCCGTATAGTGATTTTAGTAGTTGGCAGACGAGGGAAGGGTCGTCGACGAACCCGTGGGGCTGTTCGACGAAGATTTCAGCGTCGACTGGGGCGTATAGAAAGGCGTTGGCGACATCGATTTGTCGGAGTGGGCGGCGGCGTGAGGCGGCGATGGCGAGAAGTATGCGCAGGGAAGTATGTCGACTGACTGGTGCGAAGGTTTCAGTGAAATCGCGACCATACTCTTGGTCGAATCCGCGGACGACCCATCGAGCTTTAAACCGTTCGATGGTTCCGTCGGAGTTGGTTTTGATCCGGAATACCCATTTTCCGGAGAGAATGGGTTTGTCTTGTGCGAGTGATGCAGGGACGATCTTCCAGGTGTTGCGGTCTGAGAGCGCTTTTAACTCCTTTTCCATGGCTTCGCGCCATTTTTCTTTGTGTTCCCCCCCCAGAGCCTGCTTGACAGAGCGAGGCTCTTCAGGTGGCGACGAAGTCCCGTGCACTGCAGCGACGAGTCCCAGGACTTGGAGTCCGCTGGGGGTGTGACGATTCAGCAAAGGGTCCTCGGGATAGACTGCTTCGTCTCCCGCTTCAGGATCAGGTGCGAATCCGGGGCCGTATCTCTCAGAGATGTCGGTGTTGACGGGTTGGGGTGTTACGTAACCATTGTCGGCGAAATGGTAGTAGGCGTCGGCATTGTTACTGTCGCGAGGGTTTTCCTCGTCCATGGGGATTGGGACGGAGCAGTAAGGAAGGGGTCCAGCAGCTTCGGAAGCGCCATCGACGTTCTCTTCTTCCCAGTCAGCAGCATCAGAGGGTGAAGCAAAGGCTCGGGAACCAGAAAATCCGCCGGTGGGGTCGACGTGGCGTGCGATGTTGTCCAGGTAATGGTTGAGGGTGAGTCGCTCGTAGAAGATAACGTCACGTGCTGCTACTGTTTCCTTTGTGTGGACGTCGAAGATTCGCCATGCTTCGTAATATTTTGCCAGCCCGAGGTGTAGACCCCACTGTGCACGTTGCGAGAATCTCCCTGCGCGTGCAGTGTGTGGGCGGTACTGTACCATACACCCAAAAACTCGTAACATTTTTGTGTTGCCCAGCTTCCCAGTCCACAACAGGTGCGGAGATGCGTTGTTGGGCAGTGATGACGAGGACAGCAAGTTGTGCAGGAGGACAGCGTGGTCCATCGCTGCTGGCCATTCTGAGTTGGGCAGTCGAGTTCCACGTAGCAGCTTTCGCATGGTTGTCTGCAGGGTCCTGTTCATCCTTTCTGCCACACCCTGCTGTTGGTGAGCGTAAGGAAGAGAGATGAGGCGTTTGATGCCTCTTTCTGCCAAGAACTGTGTGAAGCTGTTTGACTGGTACTCCTTTGCGCCATCTGACTGAAAACTCTTCAGTTTCGCTCCTGACTCTCTTTCAGCAACAGGTAGCCAGGCTGTGAAGGCTTCTAGAGCCATGTCTCGTGACGGTAAGTTGACGTGCCAGACATATCGTGTTGCGGCGTCGATGAAGGTGATGACGTAGTTCAGATCTTCACGTCCTTCCGTTCGAGGTATGTATAGTATGTCGCTGTAGACTTTCTCGAGTGGTTGATAAGCGGGGGCGCTCGGATTGTGGTGTGACGGGAACGGTTGGTGAGGCAGATCTGCTTCCGGGCAGATGAAGCAGGTGCCGCGTGGTCGTTCGAGTTCTCGTCCGTTGGGAAGAAGTAGGGCGTTCTTATCTAACACTCCGGCTCGTATTGTATTGTAGAGTGTTGTGTTTCCAGGATGTCCAAGACGTTGATGCCATATGTCTTCGGAGGCGCTGTGACCTACGGAGCGTCGATAGAAGTCTGCGTTAGCGAAGAAGGCGGCGTGAGTTGCTGCACTTCGATGGACGGCGCGTGGTGCTGGCGTTAACTGTTGGGCGGCTGTCGGTGGCGTGTCGATGATGAGAGGTGGAGGTGCGACGGAGGGACCGAGCTGTAGAGTTTCGGTAGGTTGTTCCGCGACGACGGTTGGTTCTTCAATTGCAGGTTCGGAGGTTGTTGGTGTTGTGACGGGTGCAGTTGTTGTTTCGATGACGGGTGCTGACTCAGGTGTTGTGGCTTGTGTTTGCAGGACGGCAAGCGCGTTGGTGCGTTCAGCTTCGGGAATGGTACGAGAGTACCAGAAGCCTTCAGGACTGAAGTTCGGGTCGAGGTCTGGCGGATGCGTCCAAGGTGCGAGAGCGACTATACCGTCGCTGTCTGCGGTGCCTTTGTCGGGGACGAAGTCGAGGACGAACACGTCATCTTGTTGGATTGCACGGCCGATGAAGACCCCCCCTTTTCCGTGGTAAAGACGGATTTCCAGGGCGTCGGAGTCGCACTCCAGGTGAACGCCTTTCGACATGAGTTGGCTGACGCTCAGTAAGTTAAAGCCGAGGTTGTCGACGACGAGTACTTTGTTTAATTGAAGAATAACGTTTGTTTCGTTTGACTGAAGCTCCACGACTCCTTGTTTGTTGGTGCGCAGGTTTTCGTTGTTGGCGATGGTGATGATGACGTCTCGCGGAAGACGTCGTTCGCGCTGAAGAAATCGTGATGAAGAGCACATGTGATGACCGCAACAACTGTCGAGGAACCATGTGTCTGGTCCGGTGGGTGCACGGTTCGCGATGGCGGCGTACGTTGGATTCACGTTAAGGGACGATGGTGGTGGTGATGGTTGCTCATCAGGACTGTAAGTTGGTGGAGAGCCGGTAATGCACGAGTCGATGTTTGACTCTGTTGTTCGTGCCATGGCGACGATTCTTGGTGTCTGTGCAGGTCCCGAAGTGGAGGTTGACGGTCGTGTTGAAGTAGTCGTTGAGGCGGTAGCGGGTCGCTGTTGAGTTGACGCGATGTGGGGAGGCACTGGTCGCAGAGGACGAGAGAATGGTGCTGGTTGTCGTTGTTGCTGAGGGCAGTTGAAGCGTGTGTGTCCTGAAGTCCGACAAAGATGACAATAGGGAGGTACGTGTCCTCGATTTTGGTAGCGTGGTTGTCGTCGATTGGTGTAAAGAACGATTGGTTGATGATGCCTTTTGTTGTTGCGTTCTTCGAACAGGTCCATTTCCTGCTGCTCGGCGTGAAGTTCGGCGCAGAGATGCATTTCGGAGAGTCGACCGTGAGCGCGAAGAAGTGAGCGGGTGGTGCGCCACTGAGGTCCAAGGCCGGCAAGAACGACGGTTACGAAAGCTTCTTCAGATAAGTTTCCTCCGCAGCGAATGAGTCTGTCGCGTAGTCCTTGACAGCGACTGATGTAAGGCATGGCCTTTTCTCCAGGTTGCATTTGAACTGTTGTTAGTTGTGCCATGAGTCGGCTTTGCGTAACGCTGTCGGATGCTTGATGAATACTTCGCAGATGTTG